TTTAGGTGTGGGTGAGGGGTGGGTGGGTTGGGGAAGAAGAAGACCACTTTTATTTTTTGATTTTTTGATTTTAATGTAAAGTTACCATTTTGCCCATCTAAAAATTGTTAAAATGTGGTCAAAATAATTTTTTTGTCAACTGATGAAATTTTGGATGAAAACCGTAAAAAAAGAGCCTCACATGCAATGTTTGAAAAAGTTAGGGATGACGGCTGCAACAAATCAAAGGTTTGGGAAAAGTCTTCTATTGTTTTAAAGTTTTGGAGCTTCTGCTGCAATTTTCCCTTATATATATTTGGTTTCAAACTTTTGATTTAAAAGATATAAAAAATAAAAATAGTGTTTTTTTGCAGTCACTCAATATTACAGTCGTCCTATATGAGATACATATGACAATTAGCGATTTGATGTATAACACAATAAAAAACTATCATAGTAATACATTAAATCAAAAACTATCATGTAGAATATCACGTAACATGATTATCGTAGCGAGTGACTATGAATAGTATTACTCTAAAAAATAATTTATTTCAACAAATGAAAACATTGGGTTATTAGCACAAAACTCCCTACAACACTTGGAGTTTATTGCGCAAAATATTCTACATTTCATTTTTTACATATTCATCCTTATTTCCACATTTCATTGTGAAAATCATCGATTTCATCCAATTTCTTAATAAAAAGTCTTGAAGTGACAAATATACCATTTTATTTAAATTAAAAGAAAGAAAGAAAGAAAGAAAAATTAATTACAACAAAAGTCCCAAACCATTTAAATACTAGTAAACTTCTCCCAAACATTTTCACAATACTTTATCTTCTTCAACCAATCCCCTTATGGATAGCAAAAAAATCCGTCAAACTTGATACCCGTGGGGCAGGATTACCTGTTTAATCGAATGTTCGGGTTGAGGTATTTCGCTTGGAAACCAATACAAGTAACACTTGTGTCGCTCAGCCCAGCCTGCCCTACTCTATCCCCACCCCTTTTATTTTTTTAAAAATCCAATACTTTAAATGGAAAGTTCTAGGAAATTTCATTAATGTTAATAGAAGATGATAATTAAAATGATCTAAAAAATATGATAAATAATAAAAACCTTAGTTTATCAAATATATTCGAATAATTTAACTTTTAAAAATGAATGAATCAATTAAAAATTTTAATGACTATATTATTGTCTCATTATAACGAATAAGGACAATAAAATGAATTATAAAAAAAGGTACGTAAACGATGCAATTAGGTCAGCGAAAAAATCGAAAAACTGACCAACCAATCAAATCGAACCGATTCGGGTTGGTTCGACACAGGTAACTGGTTTGATTTTCTTTTAAACAGAACCATAGTGGGTCAGTTCAATCATTGTTTGAAGTCCCAAATCGTTGTTTAACCGAACCAATCCAACCTACTTACATGTTTACATTTTTTTTTAATTTAACAAAAATAAAAATCAAAAGATAGCCCTAATCTCGTAATTATATCTCAATTCCCTCTAGTCTTTAATGTTGTCGGTAAGTAACAGCACTAGGAATTTCCTTTTGCAAGTTTATTATGTTATACTTGGTATTCTTTTCTTATGCATACAGTCAGACTGCATAATACATAGAAAAACAATAAGACATTTAAGTTTCTGTTAATTCGCTTCTATTAACTTGATTTTATTCGTTAGTCAACAGTTCTTGTAGTATAAAATTATTTGGTTATTTTAATTCTTTTAATATAAGTGGGCCCAAAACTCGGACAATTTTTTTTTTAAAAAAAAGTTAATTTGGACTAAAAGTCCAAATCGACTAACCAAATTGAAGATTCGGTTTAAGAGCTATAGTGGGTTGATTTGGATTGAAATTTGTTTAAACTAACTAATTTGGTTTTGATTCTTAGTTGGAGTAAAAATCGATCCAAATCAAACCATGCCCAAATCTAGACCCTCGCCCCACCATAAATCGGTAAAGGGACATGTACGGGACGAAAAATTTCTCGATAGGACGGGCACGCTTGTTACCATCCCCAAATCCCTGCACCCCCATCCTAACCCCAACCCCGAATCAATTACAGGGCAACTGATTATTGCTATTGTTTATATATTTATGTGGATAATGTTATATGTACACAATGGTGTACACAGTATTACATCCCCTCACATGGAGAGGGACTCACATACAATAAAATATTCGTGGGCCTTTTTTCATGTGAGCGGGTGTAACTTATTATGTACAACATGAGGTGTATATATAACATTTCCCTATTTATATTCTCCTCCTTACCATTGGAGTTGCATTTTCATCAAATAGTTATATTTGTTTCAATATCTTTCGAATGGAAGTTTACGTACTTCTCCATTTGTCGCCCTAGAGTGAAGCCGTTTGGTAATTTACATTCTTCCAAAGAGAATTAAATTCTCTATATGTATTCGATTGACTCTCTCTCCATCCCTGATCTTTTCTATCGTAAATCAGTAACCGAACCACATTATTATACCACTGATTGTGGAAACTAATTTCTTGGTTCATTAGGTTAACAAGTTTCGTTATCATCAACCAAAGATCCTGAATCCCAAGCAGAGTAAAAGGTGCCAAAGATGATGAGGTGGAGCAAAATAGCGAAGAAGCTGTTGGAAAATAATTAGTTGCAGAAATTTGCAAGACAGTAAAATACAGAGTAAAACTTATCGACTGATCGAGTCTCAGGACAGCACGATATCCTAAAGTGAAATTGCCCGTCGATAGTCAATGCGACCTCTATGGACAATCACTCCCAGAGTACAATGATCACAAATCACTTGTGCAATAATCACGAATGATTTCTTAGAACTCTAAGTGTCCTCCAAAAAAATGTAAAACTCGAGTATAAAAATTTCAGAGTAAGAAAATTTTTAATTCTATTTTTTATTGTAATTTTCCAAAACCAAATGTGTGTTTATATAAGCAGAATGGATCTAATCGCCTCCATCATAATCTAGAAATACTTGCAACATTTACTAGTTTGTGGGTAGGAAAATGCTAGAGAAACAGACCCCGTGACCGAACCCCCACAAATAGCTCAGGGTTGTCAGCCTCCCTGTTTTCTATCATTTTCCTTGTGGGTAATGGGTTGTTAATAGTGGGATGTTAAAAAAACGAACATATTATACTGACTAGTTAGACCCATTAAATAATTTTAAAAATAATCAAAAAAAAATAAAAAAAAATGATTATTTTAATTAAGGAAGTCCAAGGCCCTAAGGTCCCAATCAATTACTTTTATATTATTGCGTGGGAGGGTGAGAGTGGAGTAGGTGGATTGGTTGAAGAAGATAAAGAGCTTATTTAGTTAAGATTAAAATTTGATTTTAATCTAAATCAAAGTCAAACAATTAATATTAACCACTCTCAAAGTATTGTAACAAATGAAAAATTTGAGGAAAATCTACTCATGTTTCAAAAATTTGGGTCTTTTGTTGCAATTGGCTCTTTTTTTCTTTTCGTTTTATTTAAATAGGAGGGTATTGAAGTTATTTCACGACTTTTTATCAAAAAATTGGATGAAAATGATAATGTTCACACTGAAATGAGAAAGTATGGGTGAAAATGCCAAAAAAAAAAAAAAAAAAAAAAAAAAAAAAAAATCAGAAGAAAGCATCTGCTTAGTAATTTCCAGATCTTACTGGTTATTTTACCTTTTAATTGGACGGTGCACTTGCAAGGGAGAATCCAGCAAGTTGAATCTACCATTCTATACGTAGGGACATTTTGTGCTAATAACTCCAAAACATAAAACATCTACATGGTTTTCGCCCATGAAGCTTGAAGAGGCATTCAATTTGAAGGAGAAAATCTGAAAATGTGACTGATAAAAATGTCTTTGAAACTCAATTTGTAACAAGAGGTATTGTCTCCACTTTTTCAAGTAGGAATTATATTGTTTTGATCTCCCGCTCATCGACTTAATGATGACCGAGCATGAGATCACACTAGACCACTTCAATTATGAGTCAAGTGATGCCAAACAAGATTTTATTAATCACATCTATCCGCCTTCATCCAACATAATGAGTTTCTATGGCACGCCTTGGCAGAGTAGTAGAAAACTGCATGTTACTCGAGCATAAAATTTTGCTAGAAGTTCAGAAACGCTATCTTTTTAATCCTATGGCAAACCAATGACAAGCCGAAAGACAGCCAAAAATTTATAGTAGAGTTGGACTTTCATCATTGTCCCAATAAATCTAATGCCGAGAAGTTAACAAGACAACTGATTGGGTGATAACAAAATCTCCATTTAATTGGATGACATGAACAAATTCAATAAAGATGCAGAGAAATTAAAGTTTCCCAATACCACTCCTGCACATTCAATTTGATTATAACTTCAACTGCAAAAGAACGGATATCATAAAGAAGATTGTCCAAACTGGTGGCTCAAAACAAATAGAATATCAAGCAGCTTGAACATCTGGTTTTGGGGTACTTTATTCTGCTTTCGTTGAGTTTGGTATGTACCTCCAGCAACGCTTGTGAACACCGCTTATTTTCTTGGGTGCATCTGCAGCTGACATGCCTGCATAACATATTCATTTCATAAAATATTGAGCTTTCTTATTGGGATAAGAAAAGACAAATCCGAAGCCATGAATGCATAATGAACAAGAGCAGAAAGCATTGACAAAGTCTCGACTTTTAGGTGTTTGAACTACAAAAAGCTGCAAATTTAATGATTTCTTGCACCAAGGAGAGCAGAGGAGCGGTAGGAACTTAGTAGGATAGCTTGGTTTTATTCAACTGTTTGATTTCAGGACTTGCTTAAGAATTACTTAGGATACTTTTCATGTAATTTTCTTTAATTTGGAGACGGCTGTTGCATTGCCAACGGTCCGAAAAAACATATTGAAATAGGAAACTAACAGGCGCTAAATAAGTCGTCTCATTATTATGATTTTGGCATGGCCTGTAGTACAAAGGATTCAACTCTAGGGTCTTAGGACACATTTCATGAAACATTTATTGAAAATACAAATGAAATTACCCCTTAGTTTTATCCAGTCCACATGTTGCTTTCTCGTCCTACACTGGAATCCAAACTCTGAAGAAACTCAACATTGTGACTTCTTGTACCATTAACCCCACCAATTTTAACATTAACTCAAATTCCCTTTCCTAATATCAATATATCAGTTTTGACTAATGATAGTTATGTAAACACAACTGAATTAATATGCACCAACACATAACAACCAACTCGCCATCTTATGGCATTCCTCGCACTCATTTGCATAAACCTTATATTCCTCGATATCTCAGAGCACATCATCACAGAAATACTACACCCTAAATTACGGAATGAAGATATATTAGTCATCTCAAACTGGCAATAAGATTTAGCTAACTAGACGTGTAAATGAACTTTTAGCTAATTAGAATGTGTAAATGAGCTTCATGGGCCGCTTTACTAAGTTAACCTCATGTGGAATGCTTCAAAGAATTAAATTACTTTTCCATTTAAATGGACGGTTGTTCTCCATCTGTCCTAGCTCACAATTGTCTGGCACTAGTCTCACCCATTTCTTAAACCTTTACTCAATGCCTCAGCTCCTCACCACAGAAATCAAAAGAACAGTTGCAACTTCCCACAATTTGTCTTCCTCTGTTCTATGAATGATTTGTCCCTTCTTATCGCCAACGTTTCACACCTATAAATGTGATAATTCTCTGGGGTAGCTAGTCCAACACAACTATGAGACATACCAGTTGATGTCTATGGAAAGGGTAACTAGCAAGTTTTGAATAAGCATCCTTCAAGTTATACAATGATATTGCATGTGATAAGTGATAACTCCAATATAGAAAAGAAAAATGATGTGATCATATTCCCACAATTTATATGTTGTGTGTTTAGTACTTCCATTGTGAGCATAACTTACGAGAATCTGCATCTGATATTTTTGGCAATCTTATTTATCTTCTTATCACCATTCTGCGGCATTCATTACACTAAAATTTATTTCCTACCTCTGACAGAGGAATAATAAGGACCATACAATAACCAAGACATTCAGCCTAGTTTGGATCAAGGAAATCAATGAGGAAAAAAGGGCAAAATATTAGGTAAATGTTTTTCCGTGTTTGGTTCCAACAGACAACAAAGGAGGCAGTAATTCAAACATACATTAGGGAAAACTTTTAATATACAGTATTTCCTTTTCAATTTTCTAATATTGAACTATTTTCAAGAAAATATTGAATTTAATTTTTGTTTTGCAAGTTCACACTTCTCCACCAATACGCTAAGTATCAAGAGAAGGGATATCATAGTCATGCAGTAGAAGACTCATCTGACTTGTAAATAAGCTTGGGGACATCTACACTATGTTATCTGCACTTCAAAAGAATTAGATATTGTTCTGTATCTATGCTTAGCTAGTAATCTTCCATAATTCCTGCCACTTATTTTACATAAAACTAAAGTGATTCAATACCTCAGCACATCATCATAGAAGCTGTACAACAAATCACGACTTCGACAACCAGTCTTATGGGAAATTTTAAGATTTATACCTCGTTTCTTTACAAAGGAAATGAAAATCCAAATATAAATAATGGAAAAGTTTAAGATTTATCCCTTGTTTTTTCAGTTTTCATAATATAATTATAGTTGAGAAATTTGTAAATTTGATTGGTGGGCACCTCAAATAAACAAATAAATAAATAAATAAATCCAAAATGTGTTTCTTGTTTTCTTCATCTTTCGTAGAACATAGTGCGGGAAGAAGAGATAATAGCCATCTCAAATTGACAACAGCACTTAAATAACTAGCACCTGAACTTCGTATGCCTCTCTGTTAATTCAACCTCATATTAGATGCTTCAAAGAATTAATACTTTACTCTTTATGAAGGAAATAGTTCTCTATCTATCCTAGCTTGAAATCTTTGGGCACTTGTTTTACCCATTTTACTACTAAGCAGAAGAATATGACTTATAGTTGAAAATGTACATATTGGCTATCGAACAAAGTGAAATATCACCATTGCGGTAAATGGGTCATATAAATAAATTAAGCAAAACCAAGATTGTAGGACATACGAGTGCTTCCAAGAAAGAGGCAATGCCCTCATTGATCGGAATAGTACTTGTCAGTCAAAACCATGTATTAAAATCCCTATTTAATATTAAGTAAGTTTTCAACTGTCATAAAGCTGCAGATTCAGCGTGTATCTATTTATCACTCAAATGCTTAAAATCCCTCTTATTCTCAAATCTCATGTATCAATAAATAGAAGTAAAAACATTAAATAAATTCGAAACAATTCATCCTCCGGAAATGTTGAACATTTTTCTCAGAACCGAACTGAGAATAATGACAGATAAAGCATACAAAAGAAGCCAAAACGAAACCAGTAATTTAAGGCTAGGGAAAAATAATAAAAAAAAAAGAACAAAGAAAAAGGAAAAGGTACCATCTTTGTGAACAATCCCCCAAGCTTTTCCGTGCCTTCCATCCTGCAAAAACCCAACGAAAACCCTTAAAACCTAGCTATACAAAAATAGTCCGTTTGACACATTCCTACAGAAACACACACATATATATAGTTATATTCACACATAAACATATAAGTTTGCATATGTGAAAAGGATAAAAGGCTATACTTTGTACAGGTTGATTTTTGTAATCTGATACGATATGCCAGTCCAGTGGGTTTTAGCCACGTGATAACCGAGGCCCCAATTGGGCAAAAACTGGGCCACCTCAAATAGGTTTTTCTTCTTCTTTCGCTTCGACTTGTTTGCTCGACCCTCAGCCGCCGCCGCCGCCGCCGCCGGCGGACTTGCCGTGGAAGCGGTGGTACTAGAGTTACGGAAAAGGTTGAATGAGAGCCTAAAATGGTTAGCCATTCTTTCCAGTGCCGATGCTCTGTTCATGAGGACAGCCGCCATTTTCACACTACGTCGCACTTTTTTCTTCTCTTCAGCTTCCCAAGTGGTCGCTGCCTAATAGCGTTACCCCTAGTTTTAAAATAAATTATTTTTGGGTAAACTTTTACTCTGTATCAATGCTGAAATGTGCTTCAATTTTTCCCAAAGTGATAACTACCCTTTAATATAATTTTAATCGAGTAATTATGCTTTAATTTACCAATTAACGGTTATAGATTATTAATTTCACTGTTGGGATCAATGATTCAAGAATTAATATCTCCCTCCTACTTTTTCTTGAAAAAGATATATTTTAATTTGATTTAAGCCCCCGTTTGATTCCCATTTTTTGGGATAAAATGCACTATGTAATAGTAGTTTTTTGGAGAATGTGTAGTTAAAAAAGTAAGAAATTTTTTTTGTAATACGTCTATAATTATTTTATTGAAAAATCTGCAGTTGAAAATAAGTTTTGAAAAAATAGGACTCAAACAAGGGCTAAATAAGATAAGTCCGTCCAATTCCACTAATCGACGATCAATAAATAAAATAAATGATGGCTATCACATAAAATCGTTGCTACTGACTTGAAAATAAATTTGACACCAATCTAAAAGATGAAAAGCAAACTTTGGTGTAGTGCACATATGAAGCCGAATCGATAGATTACTCATTGTCACGAAGGTATTCAGTCAAACAGCTCCTGAGAGGAAGTTGAGGAGTCTCAGGTATAAAGATGCAACAAACACAATCGTTCATGGTTTTGGTTTTGAGAAAAATTCGGTGATTGGTTGGATTCCCACTGGTTAACTGGGATAGCTTGTGAATAAATAAGAGATCGACCTTCTGTTTATCAAGACGGATCCAGGCTTCTTGGTAGGATTCACTAGATTAGGAATAAAGGCAGGGTTTAGAGTTTGTACACAAGAAACCCCGTAGAAAAAAAAATTAATTTCTGGAATGAAATTCGAAATTCAAATTCGAAGATATTGATAAAGTTTTAGCCAGTCACATAAATTGTTCTGTAAGCTGATAGCGACTACTTTCTTTCACTGCTAATTTCTTCCTAAAATCTGGAAAACTGGTAGTTGAGGTTACAACCACAGTAGAAATCAACTATTTCTACAACTACAAAGCAAGTTTCCCAATAATATCCCGTCACCATTTCAGCATCAATCATCGTACACTTCGTCTTCTTCATCGTCATACTCTCCCTCCTCGTCGGCTGTTGCATCTTGGTACTGTTGATATTCGGACACCAGATCGTTCATGTTACTCTCAGCTTCAGTAAACTCCATCTCATCCATTCCTTCACCAGTGTACCAATGCAAGAAAGCCTTCCTTCTAAACATAGCTGTGAACTGCTCACTAACCCTACGGAACATTTCTTGGATTGAAGTCGAGTTTCCAATGAATGTCGATGCCATCTTTAACCCAGTTGGTGGAATGTCACAAACAGTTGATTTGACATTATTTGGAATCCACTCAACAAAGTAGGAAGAGTTTTTGTTCTGGACATTCAACATCTGTTCATCGACTTCCTTTGTGCTCATCTTCCCACGGAACATAGCAGAAGCTGTCAAATAACGACCATGACGAGGATCAGCGGCACACATCATGTTCTTTGAATCCCACATCTGTTGAGTAAGCTCTGGAACTGTTAGAGCCCGGTATTGTTGAGACCCACGTGAGGTGAGAGGAGCAAATCCCACCATGAAGAAGTGAAGACGAGGAAACGGAATGAGGTTTACAGCAAGTTTGCGGAGATCAGAGTTGAGCTGGCCAGGGAATCGGAGGCAACAGGTAACTCCAGACATGGTTGCAGATATCAGATGATTCAGATCACCAACTGTTAAGTCAAAACAATTATTAAATTCAATTAAAAATACTCTACATTTTACGAATACTAACACCTTTACAATTAAGACAAACTGGTTATATACACATAAATTAAGAAAACTTACAGCTAGGAGTTGTCAGCTTCAGTGTTCGAAAGCAAATGTCATATAGTGCCTCGTTGTCAAGAACCATGCACTCATCAGCATTCTCTACAAGCTGATGAACAGACAATGTTGCATTGTAAGGCTCGACAACAGTATCAGAAACTTTTGGAGATGGGAACACCGAGAATGTCAGCATCATCCTGTCGGGATACTCCTCCCTTATTTTCGAAATCAACAGGGTCCCCATACCAGACCCTGTTCCTCCTCCTAATGAATGGCACACCTGAAACCCTGCATCCACACATTCCACAGCCGTAAGCGCATATACTCACAAAAGATATGTCCACATAAGTAGCATAAACACAAAAGAGTGGGCGCCATTTGCACAATTATCAAAGTGTGGAAGGAAAATTGGACCTTGCTGCGGTGCCAGGGTGGGGGTTCACAGAACGCCCACGAGCTCCTCACAACACGGGGGTGGGTCATTTTTTTAATGAGATGGGTCCCATGTGAAAGGGCCTGTAAAGACCCTGTAAAATGGAGACTAGCGAAGTGGAAAAATCCAGGAAAATTTCTATAGAACATTAACATACATAAATCATAGGTAAAATTCACCTGGTGAAATTTCCTTATATGGACAGGATAAGAGTGTATTTATAGCAAAAAAAATATTTTTTTCATAGACAATGATTCAAACAGCATGTAATCCAGAACTGAAATGAACACAATCACATTTTCAAATAATTTATATGGGTTTTTAATATGAAGGAACAGAAACATATTTTCATATATTTTATATGGGTTTGAAAAGAGATTTAGGAACCAATACAAACGTTAAATATTTGTACAAGACAAATTCATTATCATATCTGATAGAAACAAAAACACGAATACCTTGAAGGCAGTCGCAATTTTCGGCTTCCTTCCTTACAACGTCTAGAACAGAATCAATAAGCTCTGCACCCTCAGTGTAATGCCCTTTAGCCCAATTGTTTCCAGCCCCAGACTGACCGAAAACAAAGTTATCAGGCCTGAAGATCTGGCCATAGGGGCCGGATCGGACGCTGTCCATGGTACCAGGTTCCAGATCCATGAGCACAGCTCGAGGAACAAACCTTCCGCAACTGGCCTCATTATAGTACACATTAACCCTCTCGAGCTGGAGATCCGTGTCCCCATGGTACCGTCCGGTGGCATCAATCCCGTGCTCTGCGCACACCACCTCCCAGAATTTGGCACCGATCTGGTTACCGCATTGGCCTCCTTGAATATGAAGAATTTCACGCATTTTTCTTTGTTTTTCAGAATTACAGAGAAAAAGAGAGAATAGAGATCCTAGAAATGGAAGAGTTAAAATGAGGAGAGATAAATGGAAGTTAATGGTAGGATTTATATAGAGAGAGGGATTTGGGTAAATATAGGGTTTTTTGAATGTCCAACGGCTAACGTTTTGAGTTTGAATTTTGAAATTTGAATTTTTCAAATTGATGGGAGACAGATGGCATAGGACTTCGAGGGTGTGTAACGGATAAATCCAACGGTTTAGATTGGTTGTGGCTTTGACCATTAATTGCCATTTTCATCATTTTGTAGTATATTTTCTACGGATGATGATGATACGACAATGACGATGATACGACAATGACGATGATGATGATTATCCATAGAGAGGAGGTTAAGAGGTTCACTGTTTGGCGACAATTAATTTCATTTTAAAAAGTTTTGAATAGTATTTTTTGAGAGTATATGTGATTAAAAAATATGAAAAAAATATAAATTTACATATAAAATATTTTATTATGTAAATATGTTGTTAAAATGATCCCGTAGAAAAAGATTTTTAAAATAGTGGAAATCAAACAAGGACAATTTTTAAATTACACATTTCATTTATTGTTATCAAAAATCTATTAAAATTTTTAGAAGGCCTAGTTTTTATAAAATATATTTTGTAAAGTGTGATTTTTTAAAGAATATGTAACTAAATGTTATACGCCAAAATATTATATATAAAAATTGTACACTTGAAACTGAGTTTTAAATAATTTCTCAAGCTCTAAATTTAGTGTGCGTGAGCCATGCTATTTTTGAATAATGTATTTTGAAATAATGAATTGATGAAGAATATATGATTAAAAAATAAAGAAAAGTTTTGAATTTACATATAATATTATTTTATTAATATCAAATTATTGTTTAAAAATATTTTTTCCCCCCAAATAATGCGAGTCAAATACGGCCTTAAACCTATTTTCCCAAATAATGCGAGTCAAATTTAGTGTGCGTGAGCCATGTTATTTTTTAAGAATGTATTTTGAAATAATAAATTGATGGAGAATGTATGATTAAAAAATATATAAAACTTTTGAATTTACGTATAATATTATTTTATTAATATCAAATTATTGTTTAAAAATATTTTTTTCCCCAAATAATGCGAGTCAAATATGGCCTTAACCTATTTGACTCGTGTAAATGAACTATTTATTAACATTTCAATCACTTTTTATCTATACATTTTAAAAGATCCACAATTATTATCAACTTATTTAGTACTCAATTTTATCCATTTATAGCCCTCGTTTGTTTCTCATTTTTGAAAAAATGAGAATGAAAAATATAGTTGTTATGGACTCTACACAAGAGATAAAAATTCAAATTTAGTGATTTAATGTGATGGATAACGGCCATATTTTTCATTTTAATGAAGAAATAATGGGAATCAAATAGGATGAGTTGAAAAAATCTATAATTGAAAATTTTCAACCATGGAAAAATTAACTTCAAAACTCGAACTTAAAAAATTACAAATAAGCATTAAGAGGGTTAAAGATTGGGACTTAATCTATTAACATAAATTAAATCATATATAGGGCATATTCGGTACTAATTATAAAAATCAATTTTTTGACCGTAAGAGAAAAAAAGTGAATACCACCAATGAATGAAAAAATAAAAAATGACGACTGGATATGTTGAGTAACGATAAAAAAAATTTGATTTTTTGGCCTCAAAAATCAGAACCAAACGGGTGTACAAACTTTTTATACACTAATTTCTCCAAAGTTGAGTGCTAACTTTGAAAAATGCTAAATTTCAGGTCTGCTGCTTCACAAGAAAAACAAAAAACCCACCTTTGATCGATGAAATTTGGTTACAACCGAGGGGCCTAAAGTTGGAATACAATTACCAAAATCAGTATCCGTTAAGTATTCTAAATAATTTGGATATAAAAATTAATATTAGAAATCTAAATTATATAATGCTTCAAAACTAATCCAACTATTAACCATTACATTAGAGTCAAATAGAAGAAATTGAATTATTATTGAATATAATTAGTTAAAAATTAATATATGTTGCATAAATGATTATCTTTAAAACCAATACATTGTCAAAATAATTACTCATATTCCTACAATAACCAAATATATAAAGCATATTCGGTCATGCCAATATATATGCCTGCGGCAACTCTTACAATGAAACACTACGAAAACTCGACCACATAACAGAAACAGGCAATAATAAAGTACAAGAGCTTTGAGGAATTCTGGTGATCTTAGCCGGTTGAAGATCCTACTGAAACCGTACATTGTAGACAAAAGGCCTCGAGATGATCCTACTGAAACCATACAGAGACAAAACAAGGAACGCTTCAAAGTACATTAGCATTCTACACACAAAGAGGAGCATTTTATAAACCAGAGGATGTTCTTTCAGCCATAGCACGTTCCTTGAATGAAAACAGCATATCTGACACCGAACCTTGTCCTATGACGATTCAAGATTATCCTAGTTCACCAAGTAGCTTAAACATTTTAAGAATCATTTGCCAAAGCTAAGGGTTAGCAGGCTACTGAATAATAAGTACTCACCCCTCAGAACATTATTTTCCGATATTCCAAGAAACTAGCTGAAATACTACAATAGTAGCTAAAAGCTTGCATTTTCATGGCATGCCAAGGGAAGAAAATTTCAAGCCAATTTCAACAACAAAGACACCAAATAAATAAATAAAAATTTCACATTCTCTAAGAAATGTGCCTCAACAACAAAGTGATTCATTGTCACATAATGGGGCATTTGACAAAGACTTCTGCTCTTGCTTCTTGTATAAGAATTTTCTGAGCAAGCTACCTTAGGCTAGCTTCCTCTAAAAACCCTTCTAGCTAGAAAAAGTGATTTAAAAAAATTATCAGAACATGTTCAAAAGCATCTTCTTAGTCTCAAAAAAAGCCCTACCAAATGGGCCGTATAATTCCTAGTATCTATTTTCCTATTTTCCCTTTTTATTCTTCTTATGAAATTAAGCTTCGAACATAGGAGTTCCTAAGAGTAAGTTTCGGAAAAAAGAACAGATTGCATGGAAAATCCTTCAGAAAGTTATCACTACATTTTCCAAATTGCGAGGACCAGTGAAACCAAAAACCAGATTGACCTACAGGTTGCCTGGAAAATAATTCAGAAAGTTCTCCCTTTGAAACCTTTATATTCCTGTTCTCAAAAGTTCAAAAATACCAATAATATAATACAAAATAACCCCCACCGCCCAAGACCTTCACAGTACAAACCCAATATGGTTTATCCTGATGCCTAACTTCTTACGGCTACCAACCAAAAAACTACGTTTTTTATTTTTTATTTTTTATTTATTATTATTTTTTTTTATGTGTCGGTAGCTATAGGTGTATTACAGATGGTAAGCACACTCATGAAGTGTTTAGGCAAAGGTCAAATAAGGTTGAAAAACTGAAGAAGCTGGGGGCAATGAAGAAACCAGTGCATTGGGGAAGGACTACAAAACTAAGAATCTAGCACATCATGGAAACCCTAGATTATTTAAATTAGTTAGCCAACACACGAATAAGCTGCACAAAGATCTCCGGCCCAGCAATAAACTATATTACAGGGTTTGTCAAAACATAGCCCCTATATGGTGGGGATTAAAATCTGATTTTTTTGTAAATTTAGATAGAAGTTGATGAAATGTGTCGATAAAAAGTTGTGAAACCCATAAAATATGTCGTTGAAATGAATTGTTGATTTTGACTTAGATTAAAATCCAAATTTTAATCGGTATCAAACAGGAGCGTAATATCTTATTTCTCCAGACATATCTCGTGACTAAGGATATTGTTAGAAGCAAGTGAAATAGAATTAATACGAGACTTACCAAAAACAAAGAATTGAATTCTGCATCCACAAGGAGCTCCTCAATCGCAATCTTCAAACCCAATTGGAATTCGGAGTAATTGGAAGCAATGGAAAACTTGAATCAAAGACAGAGCAAAAGGAAATTAAAAGAAAATTAGGAAATGACAAGCCCCTGAACAACTATTTCTCAAACAGAAATTCAGAAAGAGAATTGTAGACTTGTACAAAAAGTGAAGAGCTACAACTGTACTAGATCAACTCAAGGAATGGATTCACAGATTTTAATCACTGATTTTGAAAAGTGCCCTAAAGAATCTAAAGAAACCCACAGTTCCACCCTCTTTCTCTAACATTCTTATTTCAATCCATATTTGTCATCCACAAAAGTAATGCAGAACACGTCTCTTGGCAAAGAAAAAACTCCTTAAAAACAATGTAGTGTTCCTCAAGCAACGAGATGATGGATCCATTATCAAAAAACAGCCGATTTTACGTCTTAGGCAAGCCTCACAATAAGACTTCATTAAGTGCCTTGAAGATTATTCTTTCAGTGCCATTTGTCCAGCCTGTAACTCAACTTGCTGACACACACACCCCTCAAGGCCTAAGCCCTTGGGGGCACTAAGCTGTTTGCTTGTTTGTCTTGCCCATTTAAATGGTCTTAGCCTTCTGGTATATTTCAAGGCCCAGAATCAAATATGTGTTAATATGAAATGACCAAAGCTTTCATTATTGCTATGCTCTGCATCGTTTCCCTATTCCATGAATATGATATCGATCTAGTGTGATGTATGGACTATATGACAAAGATGGAGTATTTATATTGACTGGTTTCCGGTTTCCTGGACTACTTTGAACACAATACGCTTAAAACTGGATGAGAATTGTAGAATAGAATAGAGCAAGAGAAGTATGTCCTTGCTTCCTACATATCAATTTTTATGAACCCCACAGCAGGGTGAAGTTGCAAATTTTGAATGATAAACCACCAAGAAAATGGCAAATTTAGCATTATCCATACTAAGTTTATCAAATTAGATTATTAATTTTGCTGAGTTATTGTTTGTCATATTTGGTTTAATGTTTTGTTACGAGTATATTTTGTATTTTTTCGAATTATTGATTTATGTCGAGTCAGCTTATGCCTCCGCATAAATGCAATAGGCACTGGTCTTTTTAAAAACGGAACATCTGAAAGCTCATTGATCAGCTTGTCACACTTCAAAATCTAAAGTTCTTTGTGCTTCGCAAATCCCAATTATACACAACAAACTTAATTTTTCAAGTATTTCTCTCAAATATGGGTGCAGCTGTTCCAAACTTTCAAATAGCAATAAACCCCTCACACGTCAAACGGAGCATACAATGACATTAGACTTTAAATTCAGCTGTGAGCTTAAAGAAACGTAGATATGACACGACTTAGATCGAACTTAATTAACTTATGGCAATAAGTCCAGGAAACTCACAGACAAACAACCTAATAATTTCTCATGTTTCGATAAAACTAGAAATTGTGTGAGGCAGTTCAAAAATATTCTGAGGGTCGTAAAGGATAATTCAATAAGCTGAAATTAACATAACAATACGCTACCAAAACAAATGTATTGAACCAAACATATCCTTACCCCAAAAGGACTTGTGAGCAAAGCTTTGCTTAACTTTGAGCTTTTATCTCTTTAGCTTCCCAAAGAAAGACAGGATGAGTTGAAAAGATCTATAATAGAGAAATTTCAACCACGGAAAAAATTAACTTCAAAACTCGAACTTAAAATTACAAATAAGCATTAAGAGGGTTAGAGATTGGGGCTTAATCTATTAACATAAAAGTTAAAAATGATACCTGGAATGTATCCTTCAAAATTTATGAACTGAAATCCAACATTAATCGACTATATCTATTTCCTAGACGGATAACGAAAAGATAGGATAATTGTTTCCTAAGCTGTTCTAAAGCTAGAAGTCGCCAAGCAGTTTCGGCAGAGTATCTGACCATTTTGGTGTGTGTAAAGATTACACTACGAAAAAATTGGTCACTGCCATGTGGACTCAATTTTACTCACCTCTATTGAGATAGAAGAATTAAAACAAACCTCATGATGTATACCAAGTCCATTCCACCAATACGAGCCTTATGGCCCCTCGTTTACAAACCAAAACATTGTTTTTCCATTCCAATATGCTCAAAATAGTTATTAGGGATGCCCTATACTTTGATCGATTGACCGAAATAGGGATTTGCATGGGGCATCGCGGGTTGCATCTTAGATTTTAATCCTTGGGCGATAACTATTGAAGATTTAAGACTTTCTATAGCTCTACTGTTTCACCAGACGTTCATGGTTGAATACTTTCAGCCACTGACATCCAGAACACAAATTCAAAAGGCTTTTATGGACCATAAAAATTGGAATAAACAACCTCCTTCAGTTTGCATATTATTGAAGTTTTTTTTGGGTGATCCAACACTCTTCTTAAGAAACACACCAGCAACCCTAAATCTTTATTTTACATAATCACAGCCAAATAGAATAACCTTTCCAAGCATAGTTCAAACTAGCAGTGGACAATATCTTGATACAATTACATTAGGTTACCAGAAGATGTGAGTCAATTCATGAAAGCTTGTAACTACTCCAAAGTTCATGTTTTCAACCAAGTTTTTAAGCAATCATAACTAGATAACTTTCATTCATAATTCGTGCTCGACCACCAATTATGTAGTTAGTTCTCAGAGTCTCATATTTATTTAGGTTTAACTGTTGTATAGCAAATTGATAGTTTGAAATTTAAAGGTTTCCAGCAGCAATTATATACTTCCAGAGCATTTAACAAGCTGGTTTTCGTTAGATTTTTAACTAAACAAGAAAAAGTAGTATAAAAGTACAAGACAAGGTATCTAGAACCCTATAACATATGTAAAACAAAATAAGGCCAGAAATCCTAGAGAGCTACAAGCCGAATCATCTAAAGAGTTTTTTTCAACCTAGTTGGACATCTACCAGCCCTATTGTGCTTAGCTAGGAAACGAAAGGATACCCATTACAATATTTCAATTTTATTTACCTTAAATTTGAATCTCTTCACTATATTAAGTGGCCAATTTTGTCCAAGAGTATGCAAGATTAGTATTCTTTTCAGGTAAATCCATTCCGGTGAAATTTAATTTTAGCCAGGGGGTGCATAAATATGTGTACCCATTTTATCATGATAATTTCTTATATGTATTCCTTTTGAAGAAGACATGATATAATAGATTGTCCTAGACTCTTATATGGATAGCTAGACCTTATCAAGCGGTGCCACTAAGACATATGCATTCTGGAGATGTGAAACCATTGATTTTATCTCAATGAACCAAAAAAAAAATGCAGTGTTACTAACTGTGACACCATTTCAGTAGAACTGGAAGAGGGAGGGTAAACAATAACTATCCATAGGATATTGCTGCTTTGAATCTTTCAATAGCTTTGCAATTAACAAAATGGAGTGGTTAATATTGACGGCCCTAAAATTTACGGGAATAAATATTATCATTGTTTCTTGTTGTTCAGATATTTGCAGCATCAAGTCTAATTGAATACTAGATTTCCACTTTGCTTATGATACTTAATGTCACTACCCTCTATATTTGCTAATTTTATGGGACTCCTAGACTAGTAATGAAATCCCATACTTGTTATGAAAGAGCAGCCAAAATAGTAAAATACCAGATTCAAGTTACAAAATATCCATTTTATAAGGTACTACTTAAAAAAAATTAAAAAAGTTTAAAAAATTTAGACAATCTCTAACAATTATTTAATTCCAGATAATTCTTTAACCGGGCACTACCACAACAGCTACTTTTTCATAATCAAACTCCAGCAAATAAAAGTACCCAAAAACCTATCACAGAACCTACTGATTTAGCAATTAGTAGATAGTCGCCATTTAAAATATCCAATCTCTGTTAATGAATATGCCCTTTATTTGTAAATAAAGCATGTAACGTCATGAGTAGCATTCGAAATCCAATCTTGTTAACCCGAACTAATATACCCTTTGCATACTTATATCAAACATTCAATTAAAAGCAGATTAACTTTCTAATCAGTTCATCTGCAGTCAGTTAAACTCAATTCTCCATCTAGACTCAAGTGAAAATCTTGATGGACTTCAAAAAGCCAAATGATGAGAAGCACAGAGATAAAAGAAAAGAAACTGGAAATGAAATTGAGAATAATTTCCAAGGTAAGAGCTAGCCAACCTAACAGCAGATCAAAATCAAATGAAATTTACTGTCACCAGATTCAGCAGTCCCAGGAACAGGTACGGTGGCAGAATCTCAGATTAACATGGAAGCATACAGCACTTGACCATCACCTTTAACCCAAAAATGAGAGCTTGCCGAGAATATGAAAAAAGAAGGGAGACATTAAAGGCGTAATAAAATGATGGATACTACTAGAACAAATTAACAGTGAAAGACCAAAACTTCAACATGATGAATTGCACTACACACAACAAAAGCCCCAATATCCAATCAACTCAGAATTTGGTGGCAATAATGTCTCAACACAAACTGCACTTTATCCACTGTAGACTACTTTAATATTAGCCTGACAACCACCATAATGAAGCTCTGAAAGCATTTCTTAGTTCCCAAGTGTGCATATCAATAGCAAGACATTTTTCATTCTATAACATTCAAATCTAACTCCACCTATTCATCTTCCAAACTGGACCCAAGCCCAGGTTACGAGAGTTGCATTAGGTTGTCGACCTACATAAAACTCTCACATTTTGTAATATGAATGTTTTTGTTGTATAACATTTACCATCTCCAAGACCTTGTACAACTCTGAATCTCCATCCATCAAAATACGACGTTACATCATGACCTTGGAATTATTTTCTATGGAAATCAATAAGAGAGCTCTTTATTAAAGAAAGGCATGACATTCATCTTCACAAAGAATTAGAGCATCTTTGAGAGTGCTTGTGATGATCCCAAAAAAAGCTCCTTATGCTCCCTTAATAAATTTAATAGTTTAACTTCAAGAATATTAAATGTGGAAAGAACGAACGTATGGCTAATAAGCATTTCAAATTGTCCATATATCACATCACAAAAACAAGTTAGAGAAGGTTTATGTGCTGCCTCACAGTTCATTTAGTTAGTTTTGCATCTAACTTTTTAGTATCAATGGCAAAGGGAAAATGCAAACGCATAGACTGAAGCAGGGATATAGTAATACTCTTTGAATAACACTAGACAAAATAAAACTTTGCGTATAGATACCATTCTTGACATTTTAGCATGGCAACATGTTAGATCAAATCAAATCTACTCGACATAATTTAGAAATTTTCATGCTGAGCTTAGGCAAGAATATTACTACATATATGTTTCTATGTATGTGGCACATGACAAACAGGATAGGATAGTCAGATTGATGATAAATACACATTCAACAACTTGTTATGCCCATTCATCCACATTTTTTCTCAAGCAAATAAAAAACATTACTCGATTAATCCACCAGGAAGTTATTTTATAATTTTCTTTAAGCACATCAACCCACTCCCAAAAAAATGCCCATTCAACCATATTTTTTTCTCAAGCAAATCAAAAACATTACTAGATTAATCCACCATGAAGTTATTTTATAATTTTCTTTAAGCACATCAACCCACTCCCAAAAAAATGCTTAAATAGATCAGAATAAAGCCCAAAAAGTTCCAGTAAGAGCACACTCTGTCAGAGAATCTCACAATGAAACTCATATTATGCCTATGTTTAGCCCCCATTTTTTCAAAACTCAGTTTCAACTAAACATTCTTTCATAAAATAATTTTACACATGAATAAAAAACTTTTCCTTCTTTTCTAAACACATTCTCCAAAAAAATCACTATTCCAAAATACATTTTCTTACCAAAATGGTGCTCAAAAAGGGGTCATATCAAGTGCACTCTATAGTCTATCATTTATTCAACAAAAGTTCAAATATATGGAGGGGGAAAATAATAGTGCTAAATGAAAAGAGAATAATGCCAAGAACCGTACGAAAAAATACATTTGTCCATGACTTAACGAAAAGTCAATTAAGTAAGAAGTGCAGTACAGATTTAAGTAGAATAATTATTCGACATATAACCGTCCAATATGAAATAAAGATGTCAAGAACAAAACAAACTTAACTGCGACAGTAATTTCACTTCCAAAAACCATCTTCATAAACAGGGCAGCAACCTGAAACAATGAAACTAGCATAAACAATACTGAAATTGGACAAGAGACATTTAAATGCAAATCACCTAATTCACTAGGATGTAGTGAAACTACAGATCATTTACTGACAAGAAAACTCACATGCTCACTCCCAGTAAAAGCGTAAATTGGGATTCAGAGCTTGTTCCCATGACCTTCATAACCAATGTTTCTTGTCTTCCCCAACTCCTCACGTGATGCACGACCGGATGATCTACATAGTGATGATAAAATTGATGATTTTCACAAGTAGTATACCAGTATAATATAAAACTTGCTACTTACTTCGGTTTCCTTTTACTCCGCTGTTTGATGCTTATAACCAGATCCATAGCCATCTTCTGGTGTTCCAGTGTTTGTGCATGCATGTCTAGGCCTTCCACCATTTCACAATCAGTCCTGCATATACGGCACCACCCCATGCTTATGGACTTCCTCTTCCTTGATTTATCAAAAGAATCTACAATACCCTGAAAAGATACAGCAAACATAACAAAAAGTTCATCCCCTAACTCAGCAAAACAACAAATCAGAAGAATTCAGAACTGGCAGAGAACCCACAGATTCAACATTTACAGCAAAAGGTTCGGAATTAGAAAATACCTGGAGTGAATAGTTTCTCCTAAAACCTGGTTCCCCAAGATGTGGAAGATTAGAAACGGGGCCATAACCAGCAGGCTCACCCATGTGCGAATGAGTAGACAAATTACGAGGACCCAAAAATTCACCTCTCCTAACTTGGGCCGACATGACATCTTGCCCGAAAATGTCATCCCTTGTATGGTTGAGGAGAGGAGCAGGAGCCATATGCTCACCAAATTTAAAATTCCCTGGACCCTCCACGTCACCTCTCCACATGTGCTTAGACAAGTGAGGAAAACTGCCATCACAACCAACTGGATCTGAAGGTAGATTAAAAGATCTGGATCCATCACCAATTCTACGTGCTTCCACACCATCAATCTCATTAAGGGCCGAGTGGCCATGAGGAATAGTCGAAATGCTTCCAAATCCACGCGAAGAAATGCCCTGATATTCTCTATCTGGACTTCGGGGACGAAAATGTGTCATGTGATCACCACCAAATTCAGGGCCGGGTGCAAACAAATCTGGATGCCCACGTCCGGGGCCTACCCTTCCTTTATTATTGCCATTATAAGGAAGTGTCAAATCTCTTTCTTTACCAATATTTGAGAGCAAACCAGCAGGAGGATGGTGGGAAGGTAAAAATCTTGAAGGTGGACCACCACCACCAGCATGACGCCTATCAAAAGGCCTCACTGCTGCATTCACATTCAAACACATGAGAACAACAACCAGAAATATATGCCAAGTAAGAACTCCAAATTTGAAAGCAGGTTATATTCCAAATGAAATTAACCATAAATTGTGGAGATTTTTTCAATCTTACCTGGGTCGTGGGGATGAGTAGTCTCCATCTGAAAGGAATTCGAACAATCGCCACCCAAGGCCTTGAATTTTTCATCATGCAACCGAAATGTAGATGAGTCAGTACCTGCTCCAGTATTCGATGGAATGGGTTCAGCTCCATGAAGCCACCCTAGAGAACTCCTTTCAGGTTCATTTGACCTAACTGGATGAGGACCAAAGCGAACTTCAGGGCCAAGTGGAGGAGCTTTTCCCATTATCCCCCCATGTGGATCAACATAAACAGGAGCCAGCACAGTTGGGGTGGCCCTTGAGGAGCAGAATGCAGTTCGAAGCTTCCAGGTCGAGGACCTAGTTGATGAGGTCCCCTTCCAAAATGGGCGTTTGAGCCTGGATCGGGGATCCCACTGAGGGGTGCATCAAAGGGCTGCTTCAGAAGTGATGACTGAAGCTCAATTTGGTTATGAAATTGGCCAAGCTGCAGAAGTCCTGCTCCTTGAGACTTTATCATTGGTTGAGGATGCCCCTGAACTTGCGGTCGATGTGGATGTCCATCTGTATGAGAGCCCTTACCGGGATCAGCAGAAGATAGTCCCGCATCTGTTGCTTTTTGCAACTCCTGCTTCCAATGTTCATGAGGTTCTATCTGTCGCGAAGAATCACGATATACCAAAGAATGTATCTCATCTTTCTGGGCATCATAGGTGGCATACTGCTGATGAGTGTAATTCACTCATTAAACTAAAGCTTCTAAATTACGTTTTTTGATTTATTTTTGGACATTTTTGAACGTTTTGATGTGTGTATTCGTGTTGTTTTGTAGTTTGGACAACTCTTGAGAAAATATCACAATTTGGAGTTTATGATGAGCAAAAATGATGATCATTGAAATGGAGCATAAATAAGCAAATAGTGAAGAAGATTGAAATGAAAAATAGGCTTGGAAAATGAATGAGAGTATTGCACGGAAGTACCATGGGCGCCACGATGCACAAAAGAAACCAATGATCCAGCAGTGGGCTTGGCGCCACAGCGCCAGACCTGGGCGCCATGGCACCCAACGAGAGGAAACAGGAGCAGTAGCATTGGCGCCACGTCGCCGAATCCCGGAACGCATAAAATTCGAATTTTTAATTATTTCTCGGCCCAAAAATCGTACCCTAACCATTGAGGACTCCTAGAGAATATAAATACCAAGATGAAGACCTAGATGAGGGGGTTAGACGGCTGAAGAGGCAAAGAAAGCACCAATTGAGAGAAGATTGACCCGATTTGTAAAAGAAATCAAGCAGCAAACTGAGTTTTTTCTTATCTTTCTCTTCTCTATGCACTTTAGTTTGTATTTCATTGCGTTTTTCTTCTCCACCATGAACTAAACTTTTAAATCTAGGGTTTGATGTAACCTATTTGAGACATAATTTAATTTCTTTATAGTATTTCCATTTATTTTTTCAGAATTGATTTGTATTGTTCTTGCTTAATGCTTTCAGTTGCCTAATCACCAATTGAATGAATTGATGCTCGAGAGAGGGAAATTTAGGCGTGATCTAAGAACAAAATAACCTAGATTTGTAGGTTTCGAGAGAAAGTGCAAATCTTTGAGGGTAAAACAAGAACCAAGTGCTTGATAATCTTTATATATTTAATTCGGAATAGAGATATTGAGGTTAAAATATAGAGATATGTTCTATTTGACGCTCGAGAGAGGGAAATATAATTAATTTATGATTCTTGCCTATGAATTCGGGAAATAGTTGATAGAAATATCTATAGGGGTTGAGAATTATGTCGATAATATGGTGAAATCACTCCCTAGAAATTACGTAATTCTGATTTAATCTTTAGAAATTGCCTCACTTCCTTGCATTATTTAATTCATCGACATTAGCTTAGCATTCAAACATCAATTTAACATCCGATTGTCTAGATAAAGTAAACGCAGACACAATTATAGTACTCAGTGGAAGTCGAATATCAATCCCTGTGGGTTTGACACTTTTCAATTCCTTAATATACTACAAAACTTGACGCCGTATGCTTGCGGTTTAATCACATTACATAAAACTCGTGGCAAGTTTTTGGCATCGTTGACGGGGATTGATTCATTCGAATTCAATTGATATTATTACAAATCGGTGTTCATTTTAATTTAGCTTTTAATTTTGATTGTAAATTTTTTTATTTTGTGTCTATCCCTATAAGATTCGTTGTGTTTATTTTCAACTGTTTATGCGAAGGGCGAGAAATCTGAACTTACTACCTGTTGATCCTGAACCAGAACACACATTTCACATTCTAAGAGGCATACAAAGAAACGAATGGGAAGCAATGGCGGAACAGGAAGCAAGAGCGGCTAATGAGGATAACCAATATAGAGCTATTCGTGACTACATAAAGCCCGTTGTCAATGACAATTATTCCGGCATCGCACGCCTAGCAATTGCTGCAAACAACTTCAAATTGAAGCCAGGGCTGATACATATGGTGCAGCAGAATCAGTTTGGGGGTGCTACAACAGAAGACCCAAATGCTCATCTTGGATCCTTTTTGGAAATTTGTGACACGGTGAAGATGAATGTGGTCACTGAAGATGCAATTAGACTTCGCCTATTCTCTTTCTCTTTGAGGGATAAAGCAAAGGTTTGGTTCCAGTCAATACCGTATGGCTCAATTACAACTTGGGATGATTTGGCTAAGAAATTTCTCACCAAGTACTTTCCACCTTCTAAATCGGCTCAACTTCGCAGTGAGATTAGCCAATTCAAACAACTCGACTTCGAGTCATTCTATAAAGCCTGGGAAAGATTTAAAGACTTGCTTAGGAGACGTCCTCAACATGGGTTCCAGAAATGGGTGTAAATTGAGATATTTTATAATGGGCTAAATGGGCTGACAAGGACTATGGTAGATGCAGCTGCGGGAGGCATTTTAATGGCTAAAACAGCAGAGGCTGCCTACGCTTTATTGGATGACATAGCCACCAACAGTTACTAATGGCCAAGTGAGAGATCGAGCGTAAAGAAAGTAGCAGGACTTCATGAAGTGGATCCTATGACAGCACTAGCAGCTCAGGTTACATCACTCACAAATTAGATAGTCAGGCTTACTACTCAAGGGAATCAACAGAAGGCAGATTCAGTCATGAGTGCTTCTTCATCACACCATGAAACAGAAGTTGCAAACGAGCAGACTCAATATGTAAACCGCAGAAACTACAATCAAAGAGGAAATTACTAGGCTAATCACTATCATCCAGGGCTGAGAAATCATGAGAACTTATCATATGGCAACAATAGAAACACACTTCAACCTCCACCTGGATTCAACACTCAGAATTCTGAAGGGAAACCATCCTTGGAAGACATACTTGGGACATTCATCTTTGAAAAAAGGTCACGCCTCAACAAAGATGAATCACGATTGGATAATATTGAAATGCATGTGCCCAACATGGAACCACAATGAAGAATCTTGAAGTGCAGATTGGTTATTTGGCTACCTCAATGAAATCTCAACAATAAGGAAAATTTTCAAGTGTTACAGAAGTCAACCCGAGGGAGCACTGTAAGGCTATTGTATTGAGGAGTGGCAAACAAGTTGGAGAAAGTGAACCCACAGAAGGAAGTAACCCCACACCTGACAAGGAGGGAGAACAAGTGGTAGTAGAGTAAGAAAAGCATGCCAAAGGAACAAAGACAGCTCACATACCTTATTCTATATCCTTCCCTAATAACCCACCGATTCTCACACTACCACTTCCATTTCCACAACGTTTCCAAAAGAAAAAGTTTGATGATCAATTTGCTAAATTTTTAGAAATTTTCAAGAAAATTCACATTAACATTCGTTTTGCAGATGCTTTGGAACAAATGCCAAACTACGCAAAGTTTATGAAGGAGGTGACGTCAAAAAAGCGAAAATTTGAGAAATATGAAACAGTGAAATTAACAGAGGAATGCATCATTATACTTCAGAAGAAACTACCTCAAAAGAGAAAAGATCCGGGCAGTTTCACTATTCCCTACACTATTGGAAGCTCTTCTTTTGACAAAGCCCTCTGTGATCTCGGAGCAAGCATCAACCTGATGCCATTATCAGTATTCAAGAAGTTAGGCCTCGGGAAAGTCAAACCAACAACGGTGACTCTACAACTAGCTGATAGGTCTCTCACCTACCCACGAGGGATTATTGAAGATGTGTTGGTAAAGGTCGACAAATTCATCTTCCTAGCTGATTTTGTGGTATTGGATATGGAAGAAGATCAGGAAATCCCATTGATTTTAGGCAGGTCATTTTTAGCAACTGGAAGAGCATTAATTAATGTACAAGGAGGACATTTGACATTGAGAGTGAATGAAGAAGAGGTGAGGTTCAACATCTACCAAGCAATGAAGTACTCAGATGATAATGACACTTGCCACAAGATTGACTTCATTGATTCTGCTGTGAGAGATGAGAAGTTATGTATTGAAGATCCTTTAGAGCAATGTATGATGTTTAGTGCAACAAAGGATGATATTTGCACTTCTGGAAAGTACATAGGGAGCAAGGATTTGGTTGATTGCATATTGGCTCTTGAGTCTACATTAGTTGTGGACAACCCCTCACAATGTGAGGATATTCAGCAATCAGAGGAATCAGATGATAAAGAAAGCAATGAAAGCAGTAAAATTGAACTAAAGTAATTACCAGATCACCTTCGCTATGCATTTCTGGGGGACAATTCTGCATTTCCAGTGATAATTTCTTCATCGCTCAACAGAGACGAAGAGACAGATTATTGAAAGTGTTGAGGGATCATAAGGCCGCTTTGGGATGGTCAATAGCTGACATCAAGGGGATTAGTCCTACAATCTGCATGCATAAAATCCTCATGGAAGATTCTTACAAGCCATCCATCAAACATCAGAGAAGGTTAAACCTAACAATGAAAGAAGTGGTTCGAGCGGAGATACTAAAGCTATTGAAGGCATGAATCATATTCGCCATTTCAGACAGTGAATGGGTCAGCCCAGTGCAAGTGGTATCAAAGAAATGAGGGATGACAGTAGTTAAGAACGACAACAATGGGCTAATTCCAACTAGAACAGTAACTGGCTGGAGGGTGTGCATTGACCATAGGAAGCTGAACAAGGCAACTAGAAATGATCATTTCCCATTCCCTTTTATTGATCAAATGTTGGACAGATTAGCGGGTTACTCTTACTATTGTTTTCTTGACGGGTATTCAGGCTACAATCAAATTGCTATAGCGCCAAAAGATCAGGAAAAGACAACCT